CCCAGCGCTGCCGCCGCTGCGGGGCCGAGGCCGGGTCAGGCGCGCGGCGGGGCGTGGTCGCCTTGGACCGCCTCTACCTCCCCACTTTTTATATTTTTTTTCGGCTTCGCTGGGCTGTATGTCTGTATACCAAACCGACTCGGTTCCGGGGCCCATCATAGGGGCGTCGCACACCGCGCGACGCCGCGGTTTTGGCCCACGAGTGAGCAGCCGAGTGGGGCCGCGGCGGGGCTCCGGGTACGGCACACGACGACGCGGAGAGCCCCGTGTTCTTTTTTTTAGGTCGACGCCGCGCCACGCCACCAGGCTGATAGTGACCACGCACGCCTCCGTGAGCGATGCGGTGCGATTCCGGAGGAAAGGGGGGAGGGGAGGGGGTCCGGTCCGACTTTCTCATGACTGGGCAGACCCTCCCAAAACACTGCACGTACGTGAGTGTGCCTGTGTGTGTGTCGCGCCTGGACACGCGCATTCCGCCACGCCACCCGCATATCCCCCCCACCCCGTCTCTATCCATCTCTCTCACACTTGCAGAATAGACTTGACAGAGACCGGGGCGCGCCACGCGGCGGCGGGTTCGCGATCCGCATTCAAATGGAAGCGCGCCAGCGCGGTGGCGGCGCGGGAGTTTCCCAGCGAAGCAGCTAAGGCATTACAATATGCTGACCGCGGCAAACTAAAAGCTTCCCCCTCCCCCTCTGCGCTGTCCACCTGCGGGCCAGCGGCCGGGGGCCGGGCCCCTCTGCGTGATGGTCCGTGCGTCCACCCCGCCCCGCCCCGCGCCCCGCGGGTGGGGTAAAGCCAGGCGGGTTCACTTCCGGAGCGAGGCGCAGCGCGCGCGGCGCAGGCACGGCGAGGCTCGCTGACAGATACATACGCAAGCGCGCCCACAGAGTTACGGAGCCGCGGCGCGCAGGGCACTCACCGCAAGGTACGTAGAGGTACCCACATTGTTTCCGCCTGAAGGGGCCGCCTGCCGGGCCGGGTAAAGGTGGGTACTCTGGGGGCACCCGCAGCGCGCGGCCTCTTAGGGGGGTCGGGGGCGAGGGGGAAGGGGGGGCTGCCGCAAGTGAAATACCCCCCCCCCCCCACCTTTTCCTCCAAGGGGGGGCTGTGACACGTGCATTTGGCGGCCAGAGCCAGCACCACCGCGTCGACTATATATCCCCCCTTCAGAATCCCATGATTCGCGGTGGTGCACAGTGGTGTCTGCCAGGGGTTATTCACACACGCCTGCCAGCGCGATCGCTTCCACATCCCACACTACATGATGCGGGCGCTTATCACCAGAGCAGAGCACCTGCCCGTCGGCCGCCTCCTCCTCCACCGGTAGCTATCACCAGAGCGGAGCACCTGCCCGCCGTCGGCCACCTCCTCCTCCGCCGGTAGCGCCCCGCGCTCCACTCCTATCGCGCGCCACAAAAACACGCTTTTTACGCCGTCCTGTCGGTCCTGTCGG